GAGGAGGCAGCACACGAGCACCTTGTACCACTTGACGGTCTCAAACATGAGCGAGATGACGACGACGGACACGGTAGCGAACACGATGAGCCCACCGACCCACGACCACGTCGGGATGTGCGCCGACTCGAAGATCTTGTCGAGGTACGCCTGGCGCTGGGCCTTGGAGAGCACGTCGTTTTCGCTTTCCTTGTCGTCCACCTCGGAAAGCGTCTTGGGCTCGTCATTCTTGGCCGACCACGACTTGCCGATGATGATGCCCATCTTGACGATGCTGTAGAGCGCGTCGACGCAGATGATGGCGACGGCCGTGAACGTGTAGTAGGCCTTGAGCCCGGCCGCGCCCTCGCTCTCAAACCAGACGCCGAGCTTCTGGGCCTTGAGCACCGGCATGAGGATGCCCCACGTGATGATGTTGCCGAGGAACATCGAGTACATGACGCGGAACGGCAGCATCAAGCTGATGGCAAAGGTGCCGGGTGCGAAGTCGAGAATCCACGTAAAGCCCGCGGCCTTCTCGCCAAAGATCGGGAACTCGCCGAGGCCGTTGAAGCAAAACACAAAGATGCTCCAGACGTACGCAAACACGCCCGACTTGAGGAGCACGTTCCATTGGTACTCGACGGCCTCCTTGGACGTGTGGAGCGTCTTGATCATGACCGCGGTGGCCGTACCGCTCGGGAAGAGGAGGCGCATCTCGATGATAAACTTGCGGCGGAGCGGGAACGAGATGAAGAAGCCAAAGAGAGCGATGCTCGCGCACCACCCAAACGAGCGGAGCCACGTAAAATCGATGACATCCGAGGCGAGGTTGCCCGCGTACGTCGTGTTGCCCATGATGAGGAAGACGTTCTCCGTGAGGCCGAGGATACCCGAGCCAAACCCGGCCTGGCTCGCCAAACTCATGCACGCGACCGCGCACGTCTGGATAACGACGTTCTCCTGGACGGTAAAGTGCTTGCCAAAGAACTGCGTCTTCATCAAGGCGCGGCAGAGCATGAAGCCACCGATGCCCGAGAGCACGTTGAGCGACGGCGTGACGCCGAGCTTGAGGCTGTAGTACATGGCGAGGACGCTCGTGAACGTGCCCATGATCGTGCCGACGACGAGCGACTTGATCGTCACCTGCGGATGCTCGAGACCCGACGTAATGACCTCAAACTCGGCCGCGTGCTTGGCTTCGTTGGCGACAGCATCGTCGGCGTTCTCGTCGTTCCACTTGGGCGTCGCCGCGACCTTGTACTCGGACACGACGCTGTTCTGCGCGGACCGCATTGGATTTGGTGTGGCTGCGGGGCAGAGGGCAAAAGGAACACTGATGCATTGCGCCTGGGCTTTGTGAGGAGGTCATGTACCCACACGCTCGTATCATTGTCGCAGCATGGATTCTGATAATGCAACATCTGTTCTCTGGAAGCATCACACGCCCGCTTGTCGGATCCAGTCGATTCTTGGATCCGATTGCACAAGCACGTAGAAAAATGTCGACAGTATTATCCACACACGGGTGAGCTAGACGGGTGGATCGTGGCGTCCTCCAAGCAAGACGCGCGAAAGATCCTGCGACGGAGACCACGTGTGGGTACCCACCATCGTCTTATACGGTCACGATATGGTCCGAGCTTGGGATGCCCACGTGTATTCGTCAGAGTACTACGGTACATCACGTCTCAGTCCTCCTCGCAGCTCTGGTTGGTGAGGTTGGCGTGGTCGACGCTTCGTATCCAGCTGAAGAAACGCTACTGGCAAGGCAAACAAAGCTGTCTAGAGCTATCGGAGAGCTACAGTTGAGAGGTTTGGAGGTTTGTGGGAGCGGTGACGGTGGAAACGAGCCCTATCGCGATCAACGAAGAAGATGGAGAGAGCCGGTGGAGGCTCTGGCTGCAGCCTCAACGTTTTCTGTGGCCACGTCCACGGTGCAGTCGCATGGTTTCACCATCAAATCTTGAAGCTTACAGCCACGTGATCAACACTCTTGAGCTCTGACGTTCTCAGATGGAGGCTCGCCGGTCGAGAAAGGCGAGAGGTGATCAGTGTATCGTCCTTCACGAGGGCTGCTACATGACATGGGCCGCGGAAGCCACGTCCATTATCTATTTGGCAAAAGGTGCTCCCTTGGCATCGTGACATGCGTCCGTTGTGGCTGCAGCAGTACACTGCACCGTGCAATCCGAGATGCTAAGATACAGACTCACTTCAAGGATCCACGGCAAGTGTACCGTAGCACCCTCCAAAAATGGTTTTGTGCGGACCCAGACCAGCCATGACTTTGCTGCTTTGGGAACAGCAACGAACCGCGAGGACTTGAGTGATACACGCTGCGTGCTTGCAGAAATCTCAAACAAGATGAGACCGGACACATCGACCCTAGTGTTTACACCCGTGGCGTTCGTGGCAGAATCGTAGCCTACGGCCATGAGCTACGTGATCGGGTGCAGAAAACGTTTCTGGTGCTCTTTTTGTATTTCACACGTGAAAAAGTCTACTGCACCTATTTCTCACAGCAGCGTGTGCAAGCGTATCTGGTATTCCGGATACGGTTTTGCCAGCAGGCAGGCCCGAGCGCGCTGCCCGAGCGTGGCCATTGGTGCTCGCGCAGGCCCTCGCTGCCAGCGTACGTCTCTGCGCATCTGGCTACAAGCTCACAGCGCGTCGCGCCGGCCGAGTACAGTGACCAGGTACTGCTACCACGGTCTGCAGCCTGCTGACGCCAGAAGCAGCCCAAATGCTGCGATATTGTCATGCACTAGGCCAGGCTGCTAGCGCTGCATTGGACAGCGTCGCCGAGCATGTGCGCTTCAAGGTGACGTTGATGCACCAAGCGGTGGCACCAAGAGGACTTTGTGGTGGTCGTCGACTTGACCACGACGCGCCTCGTGCTTTCCGCGAGTACCCAAAAGACGCTGCGTTAGATTTCACGCATGTTGATGGTGGGCTTGTGCTAGCACGTAGCGCAGCATCATGATGGCAGCGAGATGGTTTGGACATGCGATCTCTGCGTCACAAGTGCTGCAGTACGACGCAGTGTACCGAAGTACTGTCACAAGGGTTGGCTGGAACGAGCGCGCGACGCATTGACCTAGTGGCGAGCGATCGCGCTTCCTCTCGGCGCAGTGAGCGTCACGCTGAGCACCGTGGTCGACGCTCTGCTATTGCAGATTTGTACACGCCATTACGAGGTTGGGATACGAAGGACTTGGTTACGTTTTAGCGATTGACTAAAAACACCGCAACTACGCTATCGATTACAGTATTTCGATACATTGCGAGCCAGGCCAAACCAGTGAAATAGTGTACGACGCACCACGAACCTACGATCACGTGCTCACGGACCCACAGACCCACCAGCGCCGGCTCCTGCCTCTCGACAGTCGCACAGTATAATGTGCAAGACAAATCCGATGCCAAACGCGGCGAACACAAGCGAATCCGTAGAGTTGTTTTTCAAAGTGGCGATTTCAACGTCCAGCTACACACATTGCGCGCGCCTAGCTCGAGGACTCCAATGACCTCGAGTCTACCCTCCACAGTTGGTCATGTATGTTGAGTCGGTCTGCGACCAGCGTTGGTGGCACCATTGTTGCTCGAGCTTTCACAGCGCCGCGGAGTTGCCGAGGCTCGATTTTGGCAGATTAACGCATGCAAATTCAGGTGAAATTACGTTTTCCTTCGGAAGCCAAGCACGTAAACTCTCTTAATAGATGTTGGCGAGCATGCTGCATTGCGTCATGAAGGCTGACGCACGCGATAAGACGCCGTTTGCAAAAGCGTACAGTATTTGGATGCATACACTATAACATTTATCTAAGCATCGAAATAGTATATCAGAAGCGACGCCACGCCCTCGTCCAATTCTCTTGCTACAGAGCTCGGATGATGCCGCCGCATAGCATTTCGGACGCCCCAAAGTGGTCTTTATCATCCAGGCAAGTATAGGCGATTTCTTTTCAAACTTGATTTGGTCAATCTCGCGAGCCAGCGGTGGCTCGCAGCGTCCAAATGTGGTTATTATTGGCAAATCATGGCGAACGCCAAATCTAATGAACGGGTCGCTTGATCGTGCTGGAGGTTGTAGCCGACCACACTGCATAGCCTACCGGGCGTTCATGGGCTTAGGGACACGATGCTGCACAAGATCATGCTGCCAACGGCTTAAACTGAAGTCTTTGGTGTCCTTGATGCTAGAATATCCTCCGACACAAGTGTCTTCGCAAGATATACGGTCAATATTGCCGTTTATTTGGGACGTTCTCAAAGAAAAGACGCACGTCCATCGCGCTGGCGGCTAGCTCCTGCACGCAGACTTGTGTGACCTCGAGCGTCAACTCGTGTCTACCTCGTTGAAATAGCTCATCAAGCAGTTGCTGCTTGCGTATCCGGCACTTCCGGATACGGTGCCATTCCAGATTCCAGCAAGTGATGGCAAGCAAAACGAGACCGGCGCCGACGCCATCGTCCGTGCTCGTCTAACGCAGACACTCGAGGCTCTGGGCGTCATCGTACGACGCTGAGCACTAATGCTGTGGTAGCCACAGCGCGCTCACGCCCGGCTTGGATCCTGCGGCCTTTCTACCTGCCGACCCTTCGCTTGATGGCCATCGGCGTGCGCATCCTCTACGTCATGGTACTCGCGCTCCGCGTCGTCGAGCTTGCCGGATATGCGCTCCGAGATAACGCGACGGTTTACCTCCGAACGTCGCGCCGTGTGCCATTTCCAAGTAGTGTCGTCGTCGACCAAGACCACAGCATTCGCGCACTGCAGGCAGACGCAGCAACAATCCTTGTCATCGACCAAGCATGCGGGTAGCATGTTGGAGGTGCGCGTGGTGCGCCGATTACAAGACGCCAGACAGCCGTGGCGCGCAACTTCGGCCACGAGAACGGAGTCGGTCCAGTACTGTGTATTGCTGTCTTGCCTGGTGGTGGGCGAGGCAGTTTCTACCAAACAAAAGTGTCCTAAACTTGAAACTTATATATTTTTCAACCACGTATGGGTGAGTATCCACGCTACTTGAAACGCTTACTTGCCGACGTAGCTGGCAACGGCGGCTTCGATTTGCTGGTGGGCCCAGACCATGTGGCCCGAGTCCGCCGGGCGCGGCGCGCTCATGTCGGCACAGTGCGACGTGCCTTCGATATAGACGACCTTGGACTTGGGGTTGGCGAGGTGCGTCGAGTTGTCGGGGGCGAGGGCCGACCACGGGTCGAGCGTGCCGCTGGGGAAGATGACGTTCTCGACGTTGATATCGAGGCCGTGGAAGGTCGCCATCTTGGCCGCGATGCGCGCGTCCGAATTTTCAATACCGTACACGTCCTTGCAGAGCTGGTAGTAGACGTTCTTGGCGCTGAGGTACTTGAGCTCCGAGAAGGGCGACGTAGACGTGAGGCCCGTCTGGCCAAAGCCAAACTCGGCGCACGTCTGGTAGGTCCATTGGCGGTAAATGTTGACAGTGTCTGTCTCGGTCTTCTTGAGCCAGATCACGTACTGGTTGATGTAGTCGCTCGCCGAGCAGTTGTCGTCCGGCGTATCCGGGTTCCACGAGAGCTGGTTGATCTTGGCGACCTTCTCGAGCGGCGTCAGGCCGTTGTTGGCCGTCAAGTCGGCGCAGGCCTGCTTGAGCGCGTACTTTTCGTAGTCGTTGCCCTGCGCAAAGCCCTGGTACGTGCCCATGAGGGACTGCTCGAAGAGCATCTTGTCCATCTCCGAGCCGAACGCCGTGCACGGCTTGAAGAGCTTCTTGAACGTCGCGGCGTCGGCCGCGTCCTTGGACTCGACGAGCGCGTGCACCTGCTTGAGGCCCTCGCGGAGCGTGTTGAGGCACTCGTCGCCGCCGTACTGCTTGAGGCCGCGAGCGACAATGTCGGCGTACTGGTGGAAGTCGGCGACGAGGTCGATCGGCGCCGAGCTTGCGACCGAGCCGACGAAGCGCTTGGGCAGCTGGAGCTTGGTCCAGGCCGCGAGCATACCGGGGTAGCTGCCGCCAAAGGCGACCCACGGTGACGCCGCCGAGATGTTGCGGTTGCCGACAAAGAAGTCCTGGAAGGTCGCAATGTCACCGATGGCGTTGTCGGCCGAGAGGTACTGGAGGTTCTCGTCGCTCATGTCGGCGGTCGGCTGGGACTTGCCGTAGAAGCGGTGCTCGAGCGCCACGAGGAGCGCCTTGTGCGTCTGCGCCATCTTGACAACGTGCATGCCCTTGCTCGTAATGTACGCGGGCTCGGCGACGTTCTCGCCGTGGATGTAGAGGAACACGGGCGACCCGGCGCCGCCGTAGAACTCGTCGTTGACGTGGTACCGCTGCTTCCAGTACGCCGTCGTGTTGCCACCGCAGTTGTCGTGGCCGTGGTCAAGGATCTGCTTGTCAAAATAGAGGTCCGGGAGGCCGGCCTCGAGCTGGCCGTCGAGCTGGAGGCGCTCCAAGATCGTGTTCTTGTGCTGGAGCGTTGACGCGGCGTTGGCGGCGTCGGCGGCCACGAGGTAGGCGGCAAAGGCCGCGACAGCAGCAAACGAGCGGACCATGACGATGGAAATTGGAAAATGAGCTATCGACGGTCATCGCAGCAAGTGTACTCAGAATCTGCTCCAGGAAAGACGGGCTCCGTCCAATCTGAGTTTGCACCAATCAGACCGTGTTCCAAATGGCCGTAACGTGCTTCCTAGAACACATGTTGAGCCGGGCAATCTGATTTGCACGTCGTTGGGATTGAAAGTCGGTAAACTGAGCTGAAAATACAGTAAAAGGGGTGGAATAAGCGACCAAAGTCCACCGTTGACGCAGCGCACGGTTAACGGGGCGATGTCGACACGTACCAAAAGTTGAATGCTCTGGACAGGACCCAGCCGCTGCATGAACGGCTTCATCCGAGGACGCTCGATCATGCACAACATTGAGCGGCTAGAAGGTCTGCTTGAGTACGCCCGCCGCTACCAGCCCGAGGCAGCCATCGCGCTCCTCGACTTTGAAAAGCTTTTGACCGCGTCGACCACGGCTACTTGCTCGCGGTGCTCCGCAAGTGGGGTCTCCCGCAGCGCTTCTGCACCATGGTGCAATGCTTGTACTCGGGACGCCGATCCAAGA